ATTCTTTATGGCTCCTTGGCACCCATGCCAAACATTAATAAGGTTTATGAGAAGCCAGTGAGCACTGTAAATTGCTCTCCTCTTAATTTCAGTCATGCTACGGACTTCATTTGTTTCCTGCATGCTGATCTGACAATGAAAGATAAATCTGATAAAGTTCTCTAACTTGGAAGGAAATTTGTTTTCTGTCCAGGAAATCTATCTCTATGAAAAAACGGTCATTGGGCCTGGAGCCACAGGCAACAATATGTGTACCTGAACCACCCCTTTGAAATTCTGAGCGTTGTCACGCAGTATATTTTGCTTATTCAGCCTTTTTAAATGGTCCTAAAGGAATGTTTTTGTGCAACCCCTTCAGCTGCAAACTCGCCTGCAGTGATTTAGGGCTGAAATGTCATTAAGTGAGCCATATTTTACCAGCAAAGGCTGGGTGGCCATCGCTTTAGATCCTCTGTCACTCTGAATTCCATTGCTTATTTACATTTTTTAATATTTAGCGGGTAAATAGTTCCAAGATACATATTTCAGTTCATACCTTGTCAGGGTATCCTGCAAGCAGGTCAAAGAGAAGGTAAATTGACTTCACCTTGATTTTTTAATATTTCAGACTGTTTTGCATTCTGACCCTAATGACAGTCTTCATTAAATAGCTGTGTGTTATGTTATAATGCATGTAGGCAAAGTCATAACCAGCAATTTCCAGGAAGAAAAATTTCAATTTTATGGAGAATAAAAGAGATACAGACACTTCTCATACAGCACTATATTCTCATTCTTGCACTATATTCTCATTCTTTCCTAAAAGCCTGGAATTGCAAAACTATATTTCAGATTAAAAAGAAATTCTAGTGACACTCTCTATCCAAAATTGGTCTTTTAATATCAGTAATACTTTTTTCTTTTAATGCAAGGATCTCAAAATACACCCTGAAAAGCTAAAGAAATAGCTAAGTTAAAACTACAATAAATTTTACATAAGACAATAGTTACATTGCTACAACATAGTAAGAATTTTAACACAGAAGTAAAAACTATAGCAATTATTGATATATACACTAATACTACTAATGATTAAAAATAAGTCATAGCAAACATTTATTGAATATTTACTACATACCAGCACTGGGCTAAGCACTTAACATGGATGACCTCTTTGAATCTTCGCTCTACCCTAAGTTCAATTATGCACCCCCTTCCTTGTACACATAAAGAGAATGGAGCTTAACCAGGGAAATATTCTGCCCAAAGTCACAGTGCTTTTAAGATGTAGAGCCCAGGTCTCACTGCAGAGCTCAAGCTCAGCCAGTTTGCCATACCCTCTTCTATCTTCTATTTCTGGCCTGTTTCTCCAGCAACAAAATTCTTTCCAAGACTGAGTACTAGTGATGCCACAAAGCTAGAAATTTCTTAGCAGACCCATCTGGAGTTCTCCTGAGGAAAAACATTAGGACATAAAAATAAAGGGATTAACTGGACTGGGAACAAACATACAGGGAAATTCCAATATCCCAATAATGGCAAGTAGCCTATTTATTGGAAATTCAACAAATATGAGCACCTACTGCATGGTGGCACTGTTCCGGCACTTGCATTTACGGGAGTAAAACACATTTGGATTCTCTGTGTTCATTCAATGCTTTTATCAGAAACCCAGGTATCAGGTTCCATACTAAGAGCCAGAGTTTCCAAGTTAAATAAGACAGTGTTGGTTTCCAAGACCTCACAAGCCAGTGCCAACCTGGCAGACAAGAATCGGGAGTGCTGTGGTCTTTACTACTGTTGTGCTTTCTCTTCTTTCCAGAAAAAAAAAAAAAAACAGAGTTAACCACTCACATCCAAAATAGCACATCAAACCTTTGAGATTTATCTTGTTGGTTTTCCTAATTACCCTTTAAAAGGAGCAACGTGCCGAGAACCATTTTCAATTCATAGAATCTAACATATAAGAGCTAAAAGAAAACTTAAAGATTACCCACCTGAACCTATAGGTAAGGAAACTAAGGCCTGGGTCTCACAGGAAACCACGGGCAGATGACTGTTCTAACCTATATCATTTATCTCCAGGGACTTTGTTCTTCCCCAGTGCATCATGCTGAGTTACCTCCTGTGTGATCAACCCATGTCCCTTCTGCCTGCCAAAAGAAAATGAAAAATTTTATTGTTCATAGTTTTGGATAAGTTGCAATATCGTGAGTTCATATAAATCCACTCACAAATTATACTCAATAAACCCCAGTGAGCAATTTAAAGGCACGATACCACCCCCTACTCTTGCTGGGAGGGCAAGGTGATGATGGAGCAAGAGGGAGGAGAATGGGGAAGCTCATAAATTATGAGAAGCAAAGGAGTGATTTCATCAAAGTGCCAAGCTCAGTCCATGGAATGTTTCAATTGTATAAAATTTATAGTTTTCTGAGGGGGATGATTTACGGGCCCTAATTTTCCACAATAAAAAGCTCAGTGGGGATTCTATGAATGAAATATCTTTTTAAAAATAAATAAAAAATGTAATTCAAAATGAGGGTCAATGGTGCCACGTCTGGAGAATAACTCCTTCTCGGATCAGCTCCAAAAATGAGTCACAAGAGAAAGACCCCATAAAACATGTGTTATTTTAAAAGGCATAGGAAGTTGTGTAATAAGCAATATGCAGAAAAGTACTTCTGATTCAGTTTGTTCCATTGATAGGATTATATCTTTATCATTAAGTTTCAATTAAAAAAAGAAAAGAATAACCATATAGAAAGCTAGAGATTTTGATAAAAGTTAATGTGTTTAAAGAATAGAGAAAGAAGAAAGAAGATAGAAAAAGAGAAATCTTGTTAAAAATAATTAAGGAAATCTGCCTTACATTCACAGAAAAGCAAAATGTAAATATGTATTGCTTCCCATAAATTTAACCAATATGGATCACAGCCTAGATTTCTTGAGATAATTCTCAGTCTTTTTCTTCAGTGAGGTCTTCCATAGGAAGCACATTAGGAGCCTTCCCTCTGCCCACAGAGGTAGCCTAATGCTAGTCTTGTGAGTAAGAGATGGGCCCACTGAGTCACAATCTGACCTCAACCCCACCTACATGTTCATCCATTCTTTATAGCTGTGGCTCCATCTCAGCTTTCTGCTAGTGTTAAATTCCCAGCTAGGCTATGTCCCTGCGCTTCTAGGCCAAGGTCCTGATAAACTACCTGGACCTTTCCAAATTCTCGCTCTGAGGTACTGAATGAACCCAAACCTAATATACCTAGGCCTTTGCCACCTACTCCTGGACAGATGGCCTTATATATCAGCTCTAGCAAGAGTCAAGTTTAAGTTGACCACTCTGCTTTGGACAGTGACTATTCATTGGAAGTTATCTTCCTCAACACACACCTCTAGTTGATATACTCATTCTTGTGATCCATCTCTACCAGCCAGAGGTTGCTGTGTAGCCAAGGCCATCTCATTACTGTTGATGATGATTTAGTAGTTAGCATAAGAAGATAAGAACCGAGTTTCTGAATTCTATTTCAAGTACTATTGTTAATTTCCTAAGTGAGTTTGATAAAGTCTCTAATATTTGTGAATTTCCTGATTTTTTCACTATTGTGATAGATAGACTCTCAGGCGGTCCCCGTGTGATTTTGACTTATTGTTCAAGTTCTTTTATAATTCTATCCCATTGGGAGTGGGCAAGACATATGACTTGCTTCTAATCAATGGACTGTGGCAAAGATGATGGGATGTCACTGTCACGATTATAATACATTATGTTAGACTCCCTATCCATAACAGACTAACTCCAGAAACTCTCAGTTACTGGCTTTGATGAAGGAAAGGACAATTTCAGAAAAGGGCCTGTGGGAGGAAATCACATAGCATGGAATTGGGGGCAGCTTCTAGGAGTTGAGAGCAGCCTCCACCTGATAGCCAATTAGAATATGAAGCCTTGTGGTCTTACAACCACAAGGAAATGACTTCTGCCAACTTCTGAGTTGAGCTTGGAGACAGATCCATCACCACTTGAGCCTCCAGATGAGAAGTGAACCTCAGCTGACACCTCAATTGCAATTTTGGAGAAGACCCAGTTAAGACGCACCCAACTTCCGACCCACAGAAATTGCAAGATAATACATGTGTGTTGTTTTAAGCCACAACAGATAACCAATACAACTTTAATTCAAGTAAATATCAAAACAAAAAATTATCATGTGTGCTGCAGTGGATGCTATTGAAGACTTATTTTTAATCCCCAAGACAAAGCTACCAACATGAAGGATTTTATCATCTGGATGGAAAGATTAAACAGAGTTAAACAATATTGTAAGATAAATGAGACTTAGCTAGGGTAGTTCATGATCAATCGCCAAATAAACAAGGCCGACATAAGTGCTCTAAGGGCACTGTGGGAAGAGAGTTGACTGGGTTTCAGGAAGAGTTTATGATAGAGATAGAGCCAGTCCCACAGTTTTGCAAGAGAGATAGGCCTTACTTTGGCAGAGATGAGGAGAAACATGTGTGGCCCAAGTAAACCTCCTTCAGAAACTGGTTAACATACCCCAATCTCTATAGAATGAAAATGCAATTTTCTATGGAATCAACAATTTTATAACCCTACAATTACATGATCTTGGCAAGTTATTTTATTATCTAAACCTCTACTCCCCACACTGTAATACATGAATAAGAATGGTATCTTCCTCACTGGATTGTTTAGAAAGCCAACTGAGAAAAAGAATTAAAGTGCTTAACGCATGTAAACATGTGATAAATGTTTGCTCTTTTTATTACCATCAGGACTGTTAATAGTTGCTGGAAGAAGAGAACACAGTTTAATAAAGAGCCCTCTTTCCAAGAGATCCTTTAGCTGCCTCAGAGACAAGCTAGTCTTAGCCTCTCTTCAAATACCAGGCCACTCCACAGAAGTGATGCCTACCACTTCTGCTTCCTGACTTGCATTGTTAGGCACTTTGATGATTTTTTGATTCCATGTACTAAACCACAAGTGACTTCAAGACAAAGGCCTAGTCCACCTTCTTAACTTTCACCAGGTCCAAAATAAAGTGTTCCATGTGATAAATCCTCCTGAAGTGATTTTGTTTTGTGTTTTTGTTTTTTAATGATTAGCTCAGCATCTCAGAACACTGTGGATGGGGGGAGGGACAGTATGGAGACATCTCTCAAAAATCTAACCTCTATCCTGTGTCCTTTAAAATGTTTTACTTGAAGTTCCAAGATTTAATCCCATCCTATCCAGCCTGGGGAGAATTTTCCTGGCACAGTTAGTATAGGTAGTTCAACCTCTTTTTCCTTTTCTTTTCTTTTCGTTTTTTTTTTTTTTTTTAACATATCTGTTACCTACTACTTACACATTCTTTTCTTCTTTTCTTTCAGAATCCATCTTGAGAAATATCCTTGCTTACAGGTTTCTCCACAATGACCAATTGCTATGATCAATAATGACAGCAATAAACTGAGGACATTCCATCAATTTGTATTTTTGTAAGCTATCACTGTCTTCATAGAGAGAACATGTAATACCTCTATTGTACTAAAAAGTCAAATTTAGAATATATTACATCTATTGGATATTTATAAATATGAAGCACGTATGACTTTTTTGGTTAGCTTATGAAATTTATAATTTTCCTGTTGTTCAGTGCTGCCACACTGGAACATAAGTCCCTAGGAGCTTACTGGACTCTTCTCATATGGTCAAATATTACACATACATTTGGCATCTTGGTATATTTGAGAAATGGTGTGTCTTCACTCAGACAATTGGCACCTGGCTTGAATACTGAAAAGTGTAGAAGGAAACAGAGATGCTAATAAGAAATCAAAAGAAAACAGAACATGAAGAATAGCCTTTCTCCCAACCAAAAGAGAAATGGAAACACTACAGCTCCATCAGTGATCAGCTGCTCAAGTCTGATTCTTTTACTTAAAATTAATCCAGAATGTCGTTTCCTTCAAATAAATGGGAAGAATGGAACAACAAAGTTGATTTATTTTAAGAATCGAAGTCTCTAGAAGGAAGATGTGGTGGAAAAGGCTTGAGGTCCATCTCCATAACTTACCAGCTGTATGTCCTTGGGCAAACTGTGTAAGCAATCTGCACATGGGTTTCCTCACCTATAAAATGGGAGCGGACACACCTGCCAACTGACTGCATGGAGTAGTTGCTATTTACAATGAGATCATGTGTATAGTCTTATAAAATAAAATACTATTACTATTATTATTATTAACTTCATTGAATCATTTTGTAAGTAAGTGGCATATACATTATAATTAATTTCAAAATCACTATTAACTTCAGTAAACATTTTTTGTGTGTGTCTGCTAAGAGCATACCTCTTCTGGGAATTGCCGCCTCAGCCCCCTCTTCGCCCTGCCCAGGCCAGACTTCATCAGCAGTGTGAGAACCACCATGTTAGTGTAGCATGAGTTCTGTCTGGCCACAGATGTTTGGGACAATGTTCCTGAGGCTTACCCACATTCTTGCCCTCAGAGTATGTGAAGTAACCCTCACATCGATACAGCAAATTCCACGCAGAATTTTTTTTTTCCTCAGGTTTGTTCAAGTTGGATTTCTGTCACCTGCAACAAGAAGGATTTGTAAAATCTGTGGGAGACAATAATGAGTTAAGGATACAAAAAAAATGAGGAGAATTTCAAAATGGAGAGAATATCAAAAAGCAGGAAAAGTAATGAGTAAGAAATGTGACTGCCTAAGATATCTGGTTACAGCAGTGGAAATCTCAGTATTTGTAACTTACTAGTCATGTAGCATTGAGTAAATCACAATCTTAACCCTAATCTATAAAACGGAATTGGTTTGAAGTGCTCATAACTCTTGGGGTACAAATGTGATCCTGTCTCTTATTTCACCAGATATAATTCAAATTAACTCAAAAATCTTATGATGGCTTGGTCCTCCACTTCTCCTTCCCCTGAATCATCTGAGAACCTCAGGAAGCTTAAATAAACCAAAGGGGAGGGTCACCTAACTTTCAATCCAAAGCTTGAAAAAAGTATCATAGGTTGGCATGGCTCCTGGAAAGAGGGGGAGACTGCCAGTAGCGCTGCTCCCTTGCCAGTGGTGCCACACTCCACCCAAGCTGCCCAGATCTGCCAGGCACACACTCAGCCAGTACTTTCCAAAGTCCCTACTGTTCCACAGGCTCCATGCCCAGACTGGTACAGATACCCGTTTCTTCCAGGCCTACAACCACATCTTTCTTTCCAATCCCAAATATCACCTCAGAAGTCTGATTGCTTTCCTTTTCAATCTCTGGAATTAAAAAAAAAAAAAAAAAAAAGATTTAGTCTACTTCTTTCTAAGATTCTAGAGCTACCCATGAACCACATTCCCTCATCCCATCTCCTTTCCTCCTCAGAGTAGCTACCTGCTCTGTCTTCCCTCGTTGAAGCACCTCCACTTTTAGACTTAAGCCTAATTATCCTCCCTTCCCTTCCCTGAAGAGCAGGAATTGGAAACTCCTCTCATAACTCAGATCTTGAGGCTTGTTCACCTTTTAAGACCATGAGCTCCTTGAAAAGTGGGAGAGCATTTTTCTTTTTCTTTTTGTCAAAGAATAGCCACCACCACCACCCACCATCCAACACCTGGCAAAGTGCCGGACACATATTCGGCATTGAAAGTGTTCGTCAAATGCGAAACGGCAAGATCTCTACCAAAGGAGAGATTTGGCTTGGCTCTGACATTCCTCCAGCTACCTCCCAGATCATGCCATGGTGCTGCTCACTCTCCATGGGCTGATGTCTTGCCTTTTGTTGATCTCAGAGAGGTAAGTTATGCTACCTTTCCTTGCATTTTTGTGTTTTTTTTGGCATCGAATGGGAACAAAGAAACATGAAACAGAGTGCGTGGTGGACTCACATGAAGAGTAATATCTATTCTCATGATGCTTTCAAACAGAATTAGAAGAAATAATTTCTGTGCCTCCTTTTTGATAACATATTTTGCATTCGCGTTTGACTATCCATGTAACTATTTTATCCATTACTCTAGCCAAGAAACCTTGTTAACATCTTATCTTTGGCCTTGGTGTCTTCACTGTAAGCAAAGAGCTTATAACAAAAGTTGGATCATATTTATATTATAAGATCTTTTAGATCTGATATAGTTTCCACATCATTTTATATCCATGTCACTATGGTTATGCTTCAGAAGTGAAAAATCTGGAGCTATCATAAATTCATGAATAGAAACCTAGCTTTTGCATTCCCTCAAAAACCACTCTTCAGAAATGAAAGAATCATTGTATACTGAAGTCCTTACAAAGTCTTTCATAGAACCGGGCCTTTTCTCAATTATTTTAGTTTAAACAATAAAATAATGTTAACTGAAATTACATCAGGTGATGTTTATAGAGGTTACCTGTAAGAATTGATTTTTAAAAATGAGATAGGAGGCAAAGAAACAATACAGATTTAGCATTGTAAGCAGGCTTTTTAAAAATAACTTTATAATAAGTTGATTATAATATAAAAATTATAAATAGAATAAAAGTTTTAGTACCAGCATTATATACAAAATCAAACAATATTATAACTCAAATAGTTAGATGAAGGTAAAGATGATGTTGTTTGAAAAACTTTGATAGGTGATCTAAAAAGTTCTCCTACTGACAAAAAAGATACTAACGTTGATGATGTGGGTAAGGCATTTAAGAGAAACTGTTTCATGAAATATAAGGTTGGAAAAAGAAGTATTTCTAAATCAATATGTTATTTTATATATTATTTTACAGCAACATACTGATTCTACAGTCAATGTATTATGTCATTTCAAATATAGACAACTAATTAATCAATTGCATATTATAAGTACAAATTACCTATTTATTTTTATAAAAATTTCATATTCAAATTGGCTACATAACTGTTTTTATTATCTTTTTCACTACAAAATGGAAAAAGACCTAAAACTTGAGATAGTTTCGTATTCAGATATATACAGTATATCAAAATAAATACTTAATATCTATAGTTTTTTTTTTACTAAGGTCTAATCTCTGACCCCCTAGTTTTTGAAATCAGTGTTGTAAAAATGTTTTATTTTCTTTTTCCTTCTCAAAATATATTCATAAAATAATCCCCTTCCTCTATCCTTATTATGTCTCAGAAGCCAAAAAAGAATCTGATTTTTCTAACACTCCAGAATTTATCTGCTAAATTTAATTTGTTAACATCATTACTTAACCTGTTTCCATTTCCTCAATGCAAAATCAAGAAAATAAACAGAACCATCCTTATATGTTAAATGAGATACAAGCCCAGCCCAGCTGACTTCAACAAATCTTAACTGCTTTTATTATCAGAAAAGTAAAGCAATCCAACTTGCCACCCATGAAGTCAACCAAAATTATCTGGAAGATCTCAGCATTAAGTCTCAAATACATAGGAAGTCAGTTATCTACAGTCTACTAGTTCTCATATTAACTCACAAGCAAGGTACAAATTTTGAGTAGTGAATAAAGTATATTTTCATTTTAATGAAGGATATGTAGAATAAGACTTCTAGACAGGGAATTTTGCTAAACAGGTGGTGCGATTGGTTATAGAGAATGTGCAAGTGAAAGCTAAGAGGTTTAGTATTAACACTGCACCAAAGAGTATGGCTTTACTAAAGTCTGGGGAAATTTTTCCTCCTGAATTCAAAACACAACACATTTGAAGTGGTATACACAAATGCAACATATTTCTGAAGGGCAACCAAATGGTAGGCATTAATTATGAATAATGTAAGGATGCCACCAAGTTTCAAGCAATGAGAAGTAACTCCTAAAAGAAGCAACTCTGCAGCATATCTAATCCTATGTGAGCAGCTGCCTAATTTATTTATCTTCTAAATGTGTCTGGCACTTAACTGATACTCATTACATATTTGTGGAGTTAATAAATGTTAAATGCCTATATTTTCTAAGTTAATTAGTAGTTTAAACCCATAATTTCTTACCCATTCCTTTTTTAAAGAAAAAAAAAATCCCCTTTTTGAAAATTTCTTAAGACTGCTGAAATTCAAGCAGAATGGTGTAGGCATCTGTTTATGGAGGTCCATTTGACAAATAGGGAAACTGATCCTCAAGTCATCACCAACGTGAGGGACTGGCATATAGATTTTAATATTCCTTAGTAGACTTCTATTAACTATACTTTTCTCCAACTTGTCATGTGCCCACCCACCTAAACCTTGTTTCTCAAATCTCTAACAAGGATAAAGAAGAGAGATGATTGTAACAATGTCAGGGAGTAAGACAGAGAATTGCTGCTGAAGAATGAAGCATGTTGGGACAGGAATGTAAAAGGGAGTAATTGTGATACAAGGTACACTTTTAAAGAGCTCAGACCTTTAGAGAACCCAAAGACCACCATTCATTTCTTTGCTTTATAATAATTCATCTGAAGCATGTCATTAATTAAAAGGCAAGTAAGACAATAATGCTGGAAAAAGAGAAAAAGGCAGGAAAAGAGGAAGACCAAATATGAGATGGATCGACTTCATAAAATAAGCCATAGGCAAGAGTCTACAGGAGCTGAGCGGGGCTGTTCAGAACAAGATATTGTGGGTATCACTCATTCATAAGGCCACCAGGAGTCAGAGCCCACTCAATGCACATAACACACACACACACACACACGAGGAATATTCATGATTCATATTGAATAATTCTTCAAAATTTAAATAGAAACTGAGACAAAGAGAAGACAAATTCTAATGAGAGTAGGGAAACTGAGGTGGGCAGAATTGGGGAAAAGTGTTATAAAGAGAGCTTGCCACAGCGCTGTACGAAATACTTGTCCCAGGGCCGAGCTGCACCTGACTGAGGAAATGAAGGCAGCAGCAAAGAAGGCATGAAGGAAGCAGAGATAGAAAGTGAATGGACACCAAATACAATAAGTAATTACCTCAAATTATAGCTTAGAGGGCAGGGGAGGCAAGGAGACAAAAGAGCTATCTGGTTCCTCAATAAGAGGAAAGAAGGATATCTCCTTTGGGTGGCCTGCTGAGTCTAGAGGTGTGACCTGTCCAGAAAAACAGTGGGGAAACTCCAGACTAGACCACACACCCATCCATTTAGTGTTCTGGAAGAAATTTTGAATAATTTTTCAGATCATTAAAATCCAAGGAAAATTTCAGGGAAATTATCCTACCCAGCACTTTGTAAAACCACTTACCATAAGAATAAACAGAGAGAGTTTGGAGATATTTCTTTAAAATGGTAAAAGGCATTTTTAAGTGTTTTTCTCTACTTCCTCTCCTTCCTGCCTATACCCTCAGCCCTAGCCCCAAGAACACACACATATTAAAATATAAAGGAAAAATGTAGTTTGGGAATAAAGAGCTTATACAAATTTTAAGTCTTCATAAGCCAATTAAATCTCTAGAGGCAAAAGAAGTAAAGATGAGATGAACAAATTTTAGTTTAAGTTTTAGATTTCTTTTTTATTTCAATTGAAAAGTTTGAGTACACCCAGAATTTAAAAAAAAAAAAAAAAAGATTCCTTAATCATATTTCAGAAACCATTAAAAACAAAGGAAAACTGTACACTCAATATGCATGCAATAAAAT